TTCTCTGTTCTTAAAGATGTGCATGTCATGCACCTTTCCTTACCCAGCCCACATTGATGTCAGTAAAACATCCCCAGTGATCCACCAGCGCTTGCATTACCATAGAAAAGTAGCCCTTTCTGTTGATGTACTCTGTGGCAAGGTGGTCTGGTGCTCAAATAGAGATAAGCATGCCATTTATTGCCCCACCACAGTTTGGGAATCCCATTGCTACAAAACCATCCACTGTGTCCGGCACACTGCCCAGAGTCACAGTCCTGTGTAGCAGCAGGTGATTAATGGCCCTGTACACTTACATCACAACAGCCCCACAGTGGATTTCCCAACTCCAAATTGATTTTTGACTGACCGGTAGTAATCTGGCATTGCAAGTTTCCATAGTGCAATCGCCGCTCGCTTCTCAACTGTAAATGCAGTTCTCATTTTGGTGTCCCTGTGCTGGAGGGCTCAGGCATTGGCGATGCATAGGGAGGCATGTGGGGTCAAGTGCACACCCTCCCCCCATTTCTTCTTGGTCTGCCAGGAGGGAGGGAGAGGGGCTCTGTCCTTCTGCTGCGCCTGCCTTCCAGCACACTCGGCCTCTGTCCTGGCAGCGAGGCCCAGGTGGGTAGCAGAGGGGGCAGGACCAATCACTTTTCACACTGGCAACTCTGGCTTCCTGTTCTGTGCAGCAGGGTGGCTGCCTGCGAGAGCCTGGCTTGGGAGGTTGTGCTTGGGCCCAGAACAGGCACTCCACCCTGTGCATTTGGTCTGTGAATGTCACCACCAACCTTTAATTGTTTCTTTCTATGTCCCACTGCAATCTAACCTCCAAGGAATTGTCATGTTATCCATGACTCCGCTTGCATCTCTGCAAATATTGCAGGATCAGATGGCCTGTGCTCACTATGCTCATCACAATAGTCAGAGCTGTGCAGGATGCATGTTTCTGCCAGCGATGGTGGACAGCAAGGAGGGATGAGCGAGTTGTGGGGATTTTGAAAAGAGGCATGAAATATTATGAGATGCAGATGAAATTATGGGATGGAGCACATAACTTTATGGGAAGTTGAACCCTTGCTCCCAGTCACTCCTGCATGACTCATTTTGGCCCCAGGAGGCATTGCGAAAACTTCCCAAAACACCCTGCGCTGGATGGTGATGAGTTGCACAGTGGGATAGCTATCTATGGTGCACTGTACTCTACACTGATACAAGCGCTCCTGGTCAGGACGCACACCACCTACACGAGAAGCGTAGTGTGGACACTCACAAGAGACAAAATAATTGTGGCGGCTCTTTGCCTACATAACTTAGGTCAACATAATTTTGTAGTGTAGACATGGTCTTAGACCAGTGGTTCTTAACCTTTACTGCAGCCTGCACCCCTTTGGTTCTCAAAATATGTTCTCGCACCCCTTATCAAAAATTGTTGAAGTAGGTCAGTTCTTTAAACCTAGATATTTCATAACTGTAGAATGAAAGAGAGAGAATTATATATTTATTTTAATTTCACAATAAAATTAAGAATCCATGAAAAATTACACACTTCTTTTAAGTTTACCAGCTCACTGACTCTTTTGCTGTTGCTTTTGTTCAATGAGGTTTGAGAAACGAGGAACTTTTTTTGAAATAGCCACACGCATGTCATCACTTGCATTTAGGTGGTTTCTGACCTTTGTTCTGATGTGTAAGAGTGATGAAAATCCTCTCTCACACACGTATGTAGTGGCAAATGGCACAAGGATCTCCAGTGCTGTCTTCGCCGGTTGTGGAAACGGTGCTAGTTGAGCACACGAGAAATGCTCAAGCTTCATTGTCTCAAACTCCATTCGGATTCGGCCATTGGCACGTAATTCAATGAGATCATCTTTCATCAAATCACTATCATTGATGGAATCCAGGTTAAAAAGAAATGGATCCAGTGTCCATTTATTTGCCACATCAAGATCTCCAGTGGAAAAATATCCTTGGAAAGAGTCACTCAACTGTTGCAAATGGTTTGTCACTTCCGTTGTGATGGTCATTCCTTCATTTTCCAAAACAACTGTTTCTTCAAGAAAAGGAAAGTTAGTGAAATTTCTTTTCTCAACACGCTTTATCCAAACTGGAAGTATCTGAATAAAAGCAGATAACTTCTCTCTGGCTGTTACCGTGTTCATCCAGTTCCTTGCATAGATGTGTTGAGTTCATTTAGGTGTGTGAATACATTTGCCATGTACGCTAGGCAAAGGATAAACTCTCTATTTTCGAAGTCATCAACTAAATTACTGCTTTGGTTACAAAGAAACTGACTTATTTTTTCACGCATTTCAAAAATACGAGTAAGCATTCGGCCACGGGAAAGCCACCTCACTTCTGTATGGAAAAAAAGGACAATGTGCTCGGCACCAATTTCTTCGCAAAAAGCATGGAAGAGGCGACGATTTAGAGCACGTCCTCTGATGAAGTTTACCGTGCTCACCACAGTAGACAAAGTATCCTTCAATTTTGTAGGCAAAGTCTTTGCGGCACGTGCATGACAGTGCAACATACAATGTGTGATCATGATATGAAGTACTTCTTTCTTTACACAGGCAACAAATCCTGAATTTTTTCCTGGCATGGAAGGGGCACCATCGGTGCAAATTGATCCACACACGTCAAGCGTTATCCTATGCTCCAAAAAGAAGTCTTTGACGAGATTGAACACATCAATTACTTTCTTAGTTAATTGCAATGGTTCACAGAACAACAATTCTTCTAAGATTTCTTTCTCCTTTACGTACCGCACAAACACCAACAGCTGACTGTAGCCATCAACGTCAGTTGACTCGTAGAGCTGAATACCCACTTTAAGAGGACTAGCTTTGATATCTTTATAACATGCTGCAAGATATCCTGGCTCATCTCATGAATTCTAGAACGGATCACGCCATTTGACAAGGGAACTTGCTGAAGCTTCTTTTGTGCATCTGGTCCCAATACTATTTTTGCCATTTCCAATGCACAAGGTTTCACTAATTCCTCAGCTGCTGTATGAGGCTTCTTTTCCTTGGCACACAAATATGCAACTTGATAGGATGCTTGTAACAAGGGCTTCTCAAGTGACACAAACCCAAACGTCCTCAAGGTTCCGCTACGATCAAATCGTGCCCTCGTAGACGTCGGGGTGTCAATGTCATGTCCAGCAGCCGCACCGCCATGCTGTTTGTTGAAATGTTCAGACAGCTTCGATGGTTTGAGATTGGCGTTTGAAAATAACGAACTGCACAGTACACATTGTGGTCGTTGATTTCCATCCTTCTCTTTCGTACAAGTGAACCCGTAATGAACACAGTCGTCCTTCCATTTGCGTTTCTTCGACATGGCAAGGGTTACTGAAATGAAAAAAATATATAAATGGAGATACGGGAGCCCATACACTTTTTTAAATGCATATTAAATATATGTAAAATAGTTTTATGTTATTACTCACCACAAATAATAGTCCAGTAGGCACACAAAAATAGGGAAGTACTACCCAGAGATGTTGCGGAGTTTTGCTGTGGAAGTAAACTGTAACCAACGCGCTAACAGTTAGCGGCTAACTGAATTCAAACAAAGCCGCGGCCCTGCCACATCATCATCTGCGCATGAGTCAAGAAATACCCCGCAACGTGGCGGTACACTGTATTTTGTAGCAAGATAACTTCACTACAATTAGCTTAAAAACTTGAAAATAAATGTTTTGTTTGTATATTACATTAATCGTTTTACAAAACGTATAATGTTAATAAATACAGAGGTTTAATGAAACAAAGTAGCTGTACGTATGTGCCTGTGCTTAATTTGCGTTTTTGATGATTTGCCTCTTCTAAAAAAATCTGGCATGTCTCACACCCCCCGAAAGAGCACCCCAGGTTAACAACCACTGTCTTAGACTGATCAGTTGCATATTCACTTGTATGTTTTAAACACTTTGTATCAGTGTTTGCATCCCAAGTGTCTGTTTTAGCCCTTTTTGCAAAGCTAAGTTTTTGTCCCAAAATTGTACACATTGTCATTTTATTTCTGTCTTAGTAGAAATAAACACAGAGGGGTTTTCATTATTATTTTTAACAATAACGCTAATGAAAATGAGTCCTTTAATAAAATGTTCTGACTGTCTACTTCTTCTCCAGCTTTTCAGTCTGATTAGATTATAGACACATAGCAGTAAATTAAATTGCAGGCTTATTTCCTGTCTCATTGCTAAGATCTGAATTACATTGGCTAGGTGGCATTGTGGGTTTCAGTGGTCAAATGTTTCATTTCTGCAAATCAGCTTTCAAATCATCTGATGAGTCACAAGCAAAAATTACCTTGGTGGGATCATTCTAGTAACCATTTTGACATGTCATTAAATTCCCACATGGTTTAGCAAAAGTGGCAGTAAGAGAGACCCAGGTCTGGAACACAGATGTTGCTGGTCACAGATTAGGTGCATGTGATTAGCAGAACTCTGTGAGGAAGCATGCATGGTGCTTAAACTCAAACTCATGCCATTAGTCCCTGAATAGTGCAGGCCTCTCACCAAACAAACAGAAAATAATCATCAGAATTATAGCTGCAAACTAATGGCATATGCTGCAGGATTGGTTTCTGGGTTCCAATTGCTCAGAATATTAGAATAAAAATGTACAAGTGACATGTTTAAATTTTATCTGATACACAATGGAAGTTATGCCCTAACATTGTGTATACAACGCTTCTTGATGTTCCTGTAAAACCGCAAAGCACAGATTGAGTGGGGAAAGTTTCCAATACAGGAGCTAAGGAAACATTTTTCATCAAGCATCCTTAATTGTACCTGTGGCCTAAGTGTTAAGGGGCAGGCCCAAAAGAAAAGATTCCTGGCAGAATAAAATTTCATAAGTAAAGACTAGCTTAAAGGAATCTGTTCTATATTGGATAAAGCATCAAGTTTGATATAGCTGCATTGGTTCTTAATATAACGATTCTATTTTTTTAGTTTACATGAAAATAACAATTCTTGTTTTTTCCTTCTGTCTTCTAACTAGATTAAGAAGAAACAGCAAGAAGTAGTGGGCTTCTTAGAGGCCAACAAGATTGACTTTAAGCAAATGGACATAGCTGGTGACGAGGACAACAGGAAATGGATGAGAGAGAACGTCCCAGGTGAAAAGAAGCCACAAAATGGAATCCCCCTCCCTCCACAGATCTTCAATGAGGAGCAGTACTGTGGGGTGAGATGTCATTTGATATTTTCATAACTTTGCAGACATTCTTCCTTCAGGACATTTCACAAGTGCCCTAAATTCCACCACTCTTCAAATCATTTGAGATCCTCTTTCGAGCTAATAGATTTAGGAGATGTTTCTTTAGCCCAGAAGAGAAAATAGAGGGCCTGATTGTCCCCTTTCACAGAGACACCTACAGGGAGGGAAAACTTATTAGGGAAGCTCTGCTTGGTGAACTGCATGGAGTTTCCTAACTGTCCTCTGCAGAGACAGTGACTTGTGGGTTCAGTGAAGTACATGGAGTGTCAGCCTGCCACTCTTATGGGAGCTCCCTGGAAATCATGTGTTCCCTCCCACTTCACCACAGCCCCTGATATAGCATAGCTTATTCATGAGCTGTTCTTCTATTGGCTCCCTGCTCACACTCTACTTCTGCCCTATCTTGAGGGGGCTAAAGGGTGCTGAATGGGCAATACTGCAACTTCCACTGGGTAGTCAGGGGGCAAGACCCTAGAGAGCAACTGTCCCTTTCCCCAGTCCTGGTGTCCAGCTCTGCATCCTTTGGATTGACATGACCTCCTCCCACACATACAAAGCAAGCAAATAAATGTGGGATCCCCAGCAAATAAACCGGGAGTCCCACCCCTACGATGTTTGTGCAGAGGGGCACCACTGGAGCTCAGAGAGGAGGTGCAGGATGTTGCTTTCTTGGCTCTACTTCCTTCCTTCCAGCAACTTTGAGGCCTTTTCTGATATGATTTCTATTCCTTTTGTCCCCTTTGTGCCAAAGAGTGGGGTTTCATTAGTTTGTTTAGGCTCCGTGACTGTATCTGTAAATGCTTAATAGAGCTTTTTTTTTTTTTCCGTATGGATATTTGTGAATAACACTCTCTCAGCACTCTCAGACAGCCCCTTAGGTCCCAGTCTGTACCTGGACTGAGCCGGGGAAGCTAATGATCCAACCATCGGACTAAATTTGGTGATGAATCCTGGTAACGTACCACCTGAGTCACATTGCGCATTTGCTACGAAGAAGCCCCTTTGGGCCTCATCCAGTGCTTGAAATGCTGTCATTGACTTTAATGAACATTGGATCAGGCTGTTAGTTATCATTAAGGCTCAGTGTTTGTCACGGAAGTCATGGATTTTATGACTTTTCCTGACCTCCGTGACTTCTGCAGTGGCTGGTGTGCCTGGCCCGGGGTCCGCCTGAGCAGCTTGGGCAGCCCCCAGGCCAGGTGCACTGGCTGCTATTGGGGCAGTCTTAGGCCCCCTGCCCTCCACCAGCAGGAATTTGGGCGTGGGGGGGGGGGGGCTCAGGGCTGAGGATTGGGGTGTGGGGTGGTGCTTACCTGGAGAGGGGGGCTCCCCTCCCTCAGCTCCTAGCTCGACGTGCTGCCTCTGCCGGCAGGCACCGCCCCCACAGCTCCCATTGGCTGCAGTTCTCAGCCGATGGAAGCTGCAGAACCAGGGTTTGAGGCAGAGAGCAAGTAGCACGTGGAGCTCAGGAGCCAAGTAGGGAGCCTGCCCCAGCCCCACCAACCCTACCCCACAGAACCCAGGACACTTCCCTGCTCCCCCCAGCACCTGCAGCGCATCCCCGTTCCTCCCAGCACCCATGGCGCCCCCCCAGGGTAGGCCCCCCCAAGGACCCATGGCACCCCCCAGGCCACCCTTCCCCAGCACCTGTGGCACCTCCCCCCCCCGGTTCACACCCTCCCCAAACACCTGCAGTGCCCTCCCAGGCTGCGCCCCCCAGCACCTGCAGCACCCTGTGGGGCCGTGCCCCCCGAACACCCCCGGGGGCCCTGCCTGGCTGTCCCCTGCACCTTCTCCCTTCTCATGTTTTAGTCAGGGGTATATAGTAAAAGTCATGGACAGATCACGGGCTGTGAATTTTTGTTTACTGCCCATGACTTTTACTAAAAATACCAGTGACTAAAACGTAGCCTTAGTTATCATCTCCTTGATGACATAAATAGATTGTACCATTAGAATTACCGAGGTAACAGAACTTAATAGAAAAAAGATATATTTACAAAATAGTCTACAATATACAAGATTGTAATTCTGAAAGAGGAATACAATTATTATTATTATTATTATTATTGTTATAATTTATTTATTTATTTTATGTATTATATTTTTCTGGTAGTGCACACAATGTGCTAAGTGCTTTACAAATGAAAATAAGCCCTGATCCCCGCTCAAATGAGCTAAAATATTTTTTTTACATCTGGAACTCAGAGTTCCATGGACAAAAATACATGCTTATCTTTGCATGCAAATTTGGCTGTTGCACATAGATATTTAGGCAGCTATCTAGTTATTTGTACATGCAGTCATGCTCAGAACCAACATAAATGAATACTCAGCTGTAAGTGTGCAATTGTTTGAACTTCTTTTGCACATGAACCTTAGGGCTCCCTTTCTGAAAATTCAGTCCAATGTTTCTTGTCTTTTGATGATCAGACCTCATAAAGATTTAAAAAATGGATATTCTTAAATGGGACAACTTGTCCAGATCATAAAGATTCAAGGAGACAGCCTTTCCTCTCACAGATTCTCAGCAAACAGGTTTCCTTCCTTTGTTATAGATAAGAAGAGATCTGTGGCTTGGGTTTGGGCCTCAACTTTGAGGTGATCAAAGGCCAGATGTGAAATTCTGTATGTGAGCCTATTTTGAGTTATAGCCCAAACTCTCATATAATTTAGAATTAGACAATTTCACTTCTGTAAAAATTCAAGACTTCTCTCTCAGAATGTACATTATCTAATTTGTTCCTTGAATCAGAGTACAATTTATTTCATAATTTTTCCTGGAACTAAGAGTCCAGTTAATTCAGACAGTTCTTCACCTTGTGTGCTTAGCTAACTCTTGCAATATTACAATGAATCTCATGATATTTACTGTTTATCTTCACTTCCAGCTCCCGGAGTCATGTGATTACATGAAAATCTCATTTTGATTTAAACAAAAAGAGAGCGTATGTTCTAGCCCTAATGGTTGTAGAGGAAAGTTTGAAAATATGATCCGAATGCACCCTAATGGCTTAAGCCTAGAAGGCAAATAAAAAGCACCTCAGATTCATTATTTTTAAAATCTTGTGATTTTTAAATCACTCTCATGGTTTTTGGCTGCCTGACTCATGAATTTTGAATACCTAGGGTAGGCGATACTGAGTCACTCAAGACTAAAGGTTTCCTACCAAGGGTGGTCTTGTGTCCCATTTTGAATGTATTTTCCTGCTTGAGTTTTCAGTTAAATATCTATGGTATTTTTATTGATCTCTTTCCATAACCTGTATGTTAGAGCCTGTGTTCTTGTTTACTCCACATGTAGTTGTAAGTGAGCAATGCTGTAGATCAAATGAAGCCCCCACTGAAGAAGGCAAGTATATGTCTAAGGCACATTGGGCTAGGCACTTTGGAGGAGGAGGAACCTATAATATAAATGGAAGCAAATAGTAAAACACAGATTAACTGCAATGGTTCCAATGGATAGCATTTCGACCAGATTATTTTGCTTGTAATGCTTTGGCATATGCATTGCTTACATGATAAATATTCACCACTTTATGACAGAAACTGTTAATAGGCCCCATGTGCTTTTATATTTGCATATGGGCTTGCAATGGGCAAATAACCTCTCCTTATAGTAATGTGTTTAAACCAATGGAAGGTAATACCATAACATAAATATTCTTCTTCGAGTGCTTGCTCATGTCAATTCCATGTTAGGTGTGTGTGCTCGCCATATGCATTGGTGCCGGAAATTTTTCCCTCAGTGATATCCCTAGGGGACTGGCTCTGATGCCGTCTGGACTGGCGCGCATATGTGCCAGGATAAGGGGTGCCTCCGGCTCCCCCTCCCCTAGTTTTTTCTTATCGCCAGTGACCGTGCTAGAGCATCTCCTTGCTTCGGCAAGTGCTCTTACCCAGTGGTTCTTCCTATTGTTCGTTGTATAACTAGTTCTTAGATAAGTAGTTCTTTTTGTTCTATTAATAGTTAGCTAATAGTACTGCAGATAAGTTAGATAGTCCCCTAAGGGACTTAGCCCAGGGACAGGGCATGCCCTGGTTCCTGGGCTTCACGCCTTGTGATGCTTGCAAAAAGCCTATGTCAATCAGCCACCCTCATCAAAGCTGCTTGAAGTGTCTGGGGAAAATCCATGTTAGCAATAAGTGTCACATCTGCAAGAGCTTCAAGCCAAGAACTAAAAAGGAGCGTGACATAAGACCGAGAGTGCTCCTCATGGAGTTGGGTCTCGCGCCAGTCTCCAAGCCGCTGAGATTGGACTCCGAGCACAGTGGTATTGGTGCGAAGTGCGCCACCGGCATCAGCGTCCCAATGCCGGTCCCAGCCCCCGGTACCTGCTAAGAAGCAGAGGAAGCACACCGGGAGAGGGCGTTCCCTGACATCCCACATTGAAAAGGGAAAATCCGGAGAGCAGCATAGGCCCATGTGGGGCAGCACGTCTCTGGAGCCCAGCCAGGCACCTGCATTGCTGGCAGTGGTACAAGTAGAAATCCTTTCTTGTTGGTACTGCATTCATGGGAGGGAAACAAGGGGGGGGCACGTGACCTCCCCGTGTGACCCTCCATGTGACTCCTCCCCGCCCCACCCCCAGCCCAGGGCCTCCACGCTCTCCCTGTCCCCTCTGACATCCCCCTTACCTTTCTAAAATTTTACAACTGCATCTGTTAAACGGATGCAATTGTAAAATGATGCTTTGGGCCCCTGGTGCCACGTGTACTTCCAGGTGTCATTGAGGATCCAGCAGCACCCCAAATTGAAAACTTCTTAAATGAAAGAAGGACAGGAAGGACAATCACCCCACTTTCCCTTAACACACCGAGCAACTCTGGGAACAAAACAGGCAATGAGCTCTGCAGATGTGAAAAATTCCTAGAAATGGAAAGATACAATACACACAAAACATAAAACCATCACATCTACCACACACAAGGATACAGAAAAGGGAAAGAGCAGAGAGGGAAGGAAG